GAATCATGAGTCATGAGTTTTGGTGGGGTTCCTCAGTTGTCAGAATGAAAAAGTCTGAAAAACATCTCAAAAGACCAACTTTAGATTCTACAATAGTGATGTTATCTATAGGAGCAATTAGGGAAGTCACAAATCTTATGACCTCTGGCCACATGATTCCTGTGCAGTAAGGGATTATAGTAACTAAGCCTACATTTTAGCAGGATTCAGGTTCCTTCCATAATCCTAATCTTGTGGCCTTTTGTAGGTTTTACAAAGGTGGTTTCAGCCCTGAACAAGGTGGGGATCAATTTTAGGAAGGGACTATTATCCTTGCTTCAATGTTAAACTATAAGTTAAATTTCTCCCATGGTTAGCTTGGCTCACGCCCAGGAATGAGCTAAAATGGCCCACCTGCGAGGTTATAAGCAAGATGGAGTCAGTAGTGCTGAACTTCTCTTGCTTTCATAATCTTTGCAAAGGCAGTTTCACTCCAGTCATATTTTGGGGTGGCATGTCCTGAATTCCATCAATGTGATAATGTTTATTTTCTTTTAATACAAATTTAATGTATGATAAAATTACATAATATCACAAGCTAAAAAGGCCACCTTGTTCTTTTTGAAATTATTTGTGTTCATGAAAATTAATTAGTTATGGTTACTGGATATATATACTTATAATAAATGTCTGAGTTTTTAAAAAGCGTAAGACATGTTTTGTAAAAGAGATGTAAAAAGTATACAAGGTATTGGTGCTAATGGAATAAAAGAAATACCTAAAGAGTAACTTCTCAGTGAATTTTATAGGGCAATAACAATTTATACAGAAGTTTCTTACTTAGCCAAATGAGATAAATGTGCATGTGCATGTTTCAAAATGACAAAACCCCTCTCTCAAATGTTAGCTAATTAAGACTTATTTTTATCTACTGAAACTTCAGTTGCATTTCAACTAAAAACCATTTTGAAATATTGAAGATAAAATTTGAAGATTGAAAAGTGGCTGGCTACTGATGACTAAAATGTGGTGATTACATCTAAAATAGCGTTCTGTTCTACAGGAACGCGTGTGTGCATATCTTTAATGTCAGCACTTGCCTCTGGGATGACACTTATTAGATTTAATGGTGTCATGTGCTATTTCAAGATTGGCATAGTGGATTTTATAACACAATGTGCTAATATTCCACTTATTATTTAAAGTGTTAAAAACTATAGACAAATTAAATTTAGCAGAGTTTAATTGAGCAAAGAACAATACAAGAATTTGACAGCCTCTGGAACCAGGAAAGGTTTAATAAGACTCCAGGGCTCTCACGTGCCTGAATAACATTTATAGACACAAAAAGGAAAGCGACATACAGCAAGCAGAAATGAGGTACAGAGATAGCCTGATTGGTTAACGCTCCCGGTTTGTCCTATTTGAACTTGGTTTGAACCGTTGGCCGCCTGTGGTTGACTTAAGTTCAGTTGCTGTGACTGGTTTAGACTCCTCTACTTGTTATACAGTAAGTAACAGTCTGTGTACACATCAAGTTAGGTTACAGTTTACTATGAATGCAGAATCTTTTAGGCCAAATTTAAGATAGGTAGGAAGGTAGCTTTAGGCTAAAGTTAATTCAGTTTAATTAAAGTGAGTTGTTAAAGCTCAAGTCTTACTGTTTTGCTCACATCCATATGTACCATGATCACTCGGTTCTGCTTTAGTTTTAAAATACAAAATTCTGAAATATGGTGCAATGAATTAGTACAGTTATTTAACTTAGAAGTCATGTCTGTGAAAAATAATTATTTGCATGTGTATTGGGAATTCCCAGGTATCTGGGAATGACTTGCCTCAGAAAATTGCTGATAAATAATAGGACACAATCTCATAGGGAATTTGTTGTGCTAGTATATGGTATAACTATCCTACACTTCTCTGCTCAAAAGAAAAGCAGAGGAGGCCCAAAGAGACATCCCAGGCCAACTGGTGCTTTAAAGAAATCTCTCAGAAAAATTCTTTCTTAGGCTGCAGCTTTTTTACAGTCACAGAAAAATAAAATATGGATGAATAATCTATCTGCTTTGTGTCTATGTGTCTATCTGCATCTATCAAGTGGCCTAAAGGGGAAGGAGACTGGCTGGGTTTTCTGCCTTCACATAGGGAATACACTGTTATACAGCATACCTGAATCAAGGTAGACTTAGAGTTATGGGGTCGCTATAGATAAATTAGAAAAAATTATGGTAGGATAATCTGGGAACAGTCCAATAATTTCTATAAACATTACATAAAAGTCAATGATAAAGAAAATTTAAAATATCTAGAGGGGTTATCTGTCTCTATTAGCCTTCCAACCTGTATGCCCACTTCCACCCCAACACACATACCCTGCACAATTACAATCATATTGATATTGATGTCCTCTGCAACCATCACCCCACTATACTCATTTTCTCCTAAATTCTACATTTCTTGGTTTATCTATAATGCCTTGGACCCTCATATAATTTATTTATTTTTAATTTGGGAAAGACTTATTTGCCTTTAAATCAGATAATTTATAATTAAAATAATTATTATCAAGGTGTTTTGGTACTGTCATTCAATAAACGAGCGAGTATGCATTTCATTTTGTCTTATTTTGCATTTTAAGATATTAAGTGTATCTGTTGGGAGCCTATCAACTTCTGGTCATTTTGTCACTCTGTTCTTCCCGCAACTCTCCGAGCTGTTTCACTTGTTAGAGGGCATTGGTTTGGTTGTGCCTGTGCAGAGAGGTTTTTGTTTGTTTGGTATTTGGGTTTGTTTTGTTTTGTTTTTGTTTTTGTTTTTTTTGGTGTAAGACTTTCTTAACTTGTGGGCTTCTTTTGTAGTAAGTTTCTTAATTTTAAAAATAGTGATAATCACCTGGTCCTATGATATGTTAAAACAAAGTATTGTTTAATTTTAAATGTCACCGAGAATGTTAGATTTATTAGAATCTAACCTATGAAATGTATATTTTGGAGGTATAAATGGAGATAGCACAGTTAATCTCACCCCCCATCTTTTAATATATATTATCTGTTAAACATTAGCTTGTATCACCAAGGAAAGGGTTACTTGCAAAGAGAAGAGAAACTCTGCTTTAAGGGAAATGTTATAGCCAGATGCCTAAAGAAGATGACCAACTACTCTGTGATTTTAATTGAATACAGCGTATCGTTCTCAAAAGTTATGGCCAAAGGACTTGATATACTAAAAATGAGAATTAGTCAGGGAAAAAATAAAAGACAAAATTTTGTCCTCAAAGTGACGTTCTCCATGTAGAATCAACTTAATCCAATCTATCACTGGTTCCTCAATTAACTATAGCATGTCTTAACTTCATATTTTGGCTCACACTATGTCTTTTGATGTTATGTGTTGTTGGAAAACTTGTAACTGATGCATGAGTGTGCTCTCTGTTCAAACTGTTTCTAATATATAATTTCCTTGTCCAGTGTTCTTTCAATAAGGGTACCTAGTCCTTTGAGGATATCTTGCTAGAATGATGCAAATGAAGATGTGGACTGTTTAATTATTTGTTAAAATATATTATGTTGCAACACCCTAGTTATCACAGTTGCTGTAATGAAGAGGACAATGTGATTATTATTTTTTGGCAAAGTGAAATATTTAGTTTAAACAAGCAATGGGAAGTAATGGATAATCTAACAGGAATAATCCTCTACTGAGATATCCTTTTGTGGGGGACATTTGGAAAGGTTAAGACCTGGAAAACCTAATTTAAGAATCTTCCTGGTCACCCTTACCCTACCCACCAACTGCAAAGTCTTTTCTCCCCCAATAAATAACATTAATAAACATACATTTATTTAAATATGATTTTCTATCTCTATGTATTTCTTTTTTTTTTTTTTGAGATGGAGTCTTGCTCTGTCACCAGGCTGGAGTACAGTGGTGTGATCTCAGCTCACTGCAACCTCTGTCTCCCGGGTTCAAGTGATTCTCCTGCCTCAGCCTCCTGAGTAGCTGGGACTACAGGTGTGCACCACCACACTCAGCTAAATTTTGTATTTTTAGTACAGATGGAGTTTCACCATGTTGGCCTGGATGGTCTCGATCTCTTGACCTCGTGATCCACTCACCTCAGCCTCCCGAAGTGCTTGGATTACAGGCATGAGCCACCACGCCTGGCAATTAATGTATTTCACTATACTGCTCCCCTACACACACACACACACACAAATGCTCTTAAGAAAATAAAACATGAGAAAATGCATATCACTCTACTCTATATATATATATATATATCTCAGAAGGCCAAGCAAAAGAATTGGATTGTCCCCATTAGGTAGTCCAAACACACTAGAACCTCCTGACAATGGACTGGGGCGTGAAAGATCCATGTGCTGAAAAAAATGACACTAAGTTGAACTTCTCAGACTACCCTCGGTAAGAAGCGAGGAGAAAGAATCTGAAATTGCCCAGCTTCTGTATGTTCCATTTGAACTTAAGCAGTGCATTTTCTTTTGAACTCTAAAGCTTCAATTTCAGTCTCCAGGGTGCTTACTTCCCCTGTTTTGTGAACCTTTCCTTGTAGACACCTGTTGGGGACTGTATTATAAGACACACTGTAGAAACAGAAAATGCATTTTCCAAGCCTAGAAGGTGAAAGCTACTCTTTTCTAGGGCTCTTGTTAATCTTTGGGTGCCCAGCATCTTCTGTGGCAGAACAAAGACGATACAGGTGTAAATTCTTATTTTTTTTTCCCCACTCTCACAAAGAAAATGTTGTTGACGTGTCAGTGTTCAGCTACATTTCTCTTAAGATAAACAATAGAATATTTCTTCCTTCTATCCTGAGGTTTTAGAACTAGATTCCCATTGCTTTCTAGCATCATTCTAAATAGAACCCCACTGTTTGGCCACGGCCAGAATTAGCTCGAATGGTACCTGTTATTGAAAGGGAGTCTGTATTTGCAGTAATACAGAGAATGCCAGTTTAGAAATGAGCCTGATTGCATGGTTCATTTTGTTCTCCTTTGTAGAGCCAGGCTGCGGCCCACTACAAAGGCACGAAACATGCCAAGAAGCTCAAAGCACTGGAAGCCATGAAAAATAAGCAGAAATCTGTAACTGCCAAGGACAGCGCAAAGACTACCTTCACCTCCATCACTACCAATACCATCAATACCAGCTCTGACAAAACAGGTTAAGCAATGATCTTTGTTGTTGTTGTCCTCCTCGTCGTCACTGGGGGTTCCCTCCCTTGTCTAGCCCCACGTCTGTTTACTTATGTGCCTGCCACATTGATTCATGCTTGAGCCATCTTTCTCTATAATGGTAATTGTTTCCTCTCATTTTTCCAAACCCCTATAAGATTAAGATAATCACTAATTATATTCCAGATTTTGCATTTTGCAAGAGTCCTGTGGCTGTTTCAGAGGAATAGTCATAAAAGGCATTTGAAGCCATGTACCCCATAACTCTTTTTGAGAAATGAACCTTTTCAGTGTGTAGTATTTGCATCTTGTATGCAGCACCTTAGCTTATAACTGCATGGCAGATTTGATTTAACTGTGAGTACACAACAAAGTATGCTAAATGAATCGAGAAGGCCCCAATAAGGGCATTATTACAGACAGGCTTTATTCTCATAAATTCCAAATACTGCGTTGTTTTAAGTAGTGGCTGTGTGATACTGGGCTTGTTATGGCTGGGTAACCTTCCCTCTGCAAACACAGGTAAGTGTTATTGATACCAATTACTCTTTTTAACAGAGTCTTCACGGTGAAATAATGGCCTCTGAATGGCCCCTTGGGATAGCTCCTGCCAACGACCAGCTTATTCATAATGGGGGAAGCTAGTGAGGTTTCCCTAAGCTGACATTTTAAATATAAGACCACTGGTTTTCAAAATCTACAGAGAAACTATTCCTGTGTGATTCACGGATATACCCCTAATAAATCACTTTCTAGAACACAGAAACTGTTACACATCAATTGTTTTCCAGTCCATGTGAATGGCAATGGTGAGAAAACGTTCATATCATCACCAATGGTAGTGTCTTAACTAAAAGAGAATCTTCTGGGTATGATTGATGAAAATAGAAAATAAACAGTGAATGAATAGGATAGATTACAACAATCTTATTACACAGTGTAACATCTACTGGACACGTATCGGCTGTTCCAAGGATCGGGAATGCTGCAAGTGAATCTGTAAGGGATAGTGATGTTCTGAGTTCCTATGGCATTTTGTATTTTCTTTACCCAGGTATTGCTGGTAGATGCATCATGCTGCCCTCCCTAAGAACCCTGTGTCCTCCCTCAGCCTGAACACATGTCTCATCTTTGTATGCTGCCACCTGGTCTGGCATGGGGTGAATGCTGAGTAAAATGTCTGTTGAATGACTGAGGCTTATTTCACTCCTTTGGTTTGGTTCTCTGATATAGGCAAGTTTGTGCCACCACATACTAAAGAGGAAAAAAAGACAAGCTTGTCATACTCACCTCTTTGTTATCCAGGGCAAGAGCTGGATTGTGCCATTGTGTTAATGTAGATGTAAAACCTTTTAGGGAAAGCACTGGTCTTTTCTCTAATAATCTAAGACTAAAGGCTTTATTTTGAGGACTGAAAGAGAATGAGTGGGGGATCACCAAAGCAGCATCTGGCATAGAGAAGTGCAGAAAAATCCTGAAGCCTTTGGATGCAAAGAAGGTAGTAGGTAGGAAGAACAAAGAGATGAGTTTGATGTAAAGGGTTAAAGTGACATTTTTCCTTGCTCCCAATTTTTTCTACTTTTAGACTTTTGTAATCAAGAATTCATGTTTGGGTTATCTTGACTTTTTTAAAATATGAAAATAGTTGTTTCATTAAGGATGCACATCATTTAAAAATATATGTATGGTAGGTAGAGCTGCTAAGTTGGCTTAAGAAAAGCCCCCAAGTGTGTTGTCTCTGTTAAGTAAATTAGTTGTGACCACATACCTTCATCTCTTAACTTAGAGACTAGAATGTGTCAACCTAGAATAATCCAAAGGGTCAGAATCTAGTTTAAAGAGAGTTTATGCAAGTGTAAAGTTGGAGGGTGGCTGCCCAGAAAACACAGATTCCAAAGAATGGAAGTCAGTATTCCAAAGTGTAGAAGTTTAGTATCATTTTTATCGACAAAGTTTAGGGAAGTTTAACAGAATTTCAACACTTCTTTCTACATAAGGCTTAATGCTTGGTTAACAATAATCTGACATTGGTTGGGGTGGTCTTATTCTTTTGGGAAAGGTATATTTAACATTTTATACTGAGGATATAATTCTTATGGGGTCTTTTGCACCATCTAGTCTTGGGTACAGGACAATAAAGGATGCAGTTAATCTATAACAAATATCACTAATTGGAAGGGGGAGGCAGTCTGGTATCTGGTCTCTCCTAGTCATTTACAGAACAAGAACAATGAGGAAGAGAATTAACCCTAAAGAAGCAGAAATTGCAAACATGTTATGCGACTCAGTCTCCAGTGCTTAACCTGCCCCCCACTACCCTTGGCATAATAAATTTAGAGAGTCCTTAAATTGTATTTTCTTTTACAACTTTGAAGGGTGGCAGTCTTCCAGGCTCTGTCCTTTTAGAAGCTGAAATGTTAACAAACTTTGCATTGGTCTTTTGAAGACAACATAAACATGCCAGAATTTACCTAACAGTGGAAATAGTGTTGAGATGATGAAACACCCTTCCAAGCTGGAGCTAGAGAAAATTTCAAAAGAGCAGAAGAGATAGTAAAGTCTGTAAAGTCGGTGCAGACATTCTAAAGCCAAAAGAAGGAAGTGATGGACATTAGGAAAGACTGCTTTCCTAATCCATCAGGACCTATATCAGGAAAAAACAAAACAAATAAGCAAGTTATATAGGTTGAGAGACTGAGAGTTCCAGCACACTCATCAGATATTTTGAGCCAAATTCTCTTTAAGCTGAATTTACACAAAACTGCCTATGAGAAAAGACACCCATTTCACAGACCCTTATTCTATTTGTATTGCAATATAAACCTGAGGCATGTAGGCTAACAAATTTGAGTTTTCTTAAAGCAATTACATGTTCTTTTTATTACTATGTGCTTCCTCTTCCTGATTAGTAGCACTCTGAAACAAAATGAGTCTGAGCCTGGCACAGTGGCATGTGGCTATAGCCCCACCTACTTGGAAGGCTGAGGCCCAAACAATCCCTTGCATCTGGGACTTTGAGACTGGACTGGGCAAAACAGTGAGACCCCATCTCAGAACAAAAAGGACTCTGAGTTAATTTTGTAGAATAGTTAAATACTTGGCAGAAGGAGAAGAAGAGGTAGATAGGACTCTAGAATCAAAGATCATGCATTTTTTAATAAAAAACAATTTTTCTGATAATGCACAAGAATGTTTTGTGATTTGTAGGCTTGTCCATATGTAAAAGATAGAGACACATGAAATCACATTTTACTAATTTATCAAATCATTTTAATAAAAAAATCTAATTATATGAAAAAACTAATCCAGTTATATATATTTTACAAACCCAAACTAATTCCTTTGAGAAATGCTACACATGTCATACTTTGGTAAATGAGAACCCCTGGAGAGGGTTGGGGCAACAATAGTGAAAAGGGCAAGAAATAGTATGGACTTTAATTAGAAAATTGATTTGGCGGTTTTCTCTAAAATACAAGAGATAGAATGAATACTCATAAAAACTAAATTTTCATAGTAAACCTACTTGATTGATAGAAAGACAATTTTGATTAATAATTCCTCTTAAATTTTCAAGTCATATATTATTTATTAGTATAAATAATAAGGTTTTATCTGCTGCCTGAGGGTGACACATATATCTAAACCATGGGGTTAGCTCCTATTTGCTAACTTTATGATCTTGGGTTTTGTGTTGCCTTTTTCTCTCTCTCATTATGCCACTCTGCTAGAGTGCTGAGCAGAAAATCGTATTCAGTGATCAGCCACTGACTATTCATAGAAGGAATGCCTAGTTCATCTATCTCAAGGCAAAAACACACTTCCTAACATTAAAGAACAATTTTAGTTCTTGTGGTCTAATGAAGAGTGTTAGGCTGGTGAATTTACATGTATAAAAGTTTACAGGCAAAAGTAGTATTTTAAAACAATATATTGAGCACTCTAAATTGTTAAGAGTGGCTACTGTTCATCACAGAATATTTCATAGAGCATTTCCAAAGATAGTCAGGATAATTGTCTAATCTAGCAAATGTTTTTAAATGCCAAGTTTTTTATTTAGAAAAATTAATGGCAAAAATTTAAAATTTATACTCAAAGAAACTAGGCAAGTGTAACTAAGTTGTGTTTTTTGTTCTTCTATGAAATGACAAATTCAGAATTGTCTGAATAAGTTCTGTACAAGGTCATTCTCTGATCTTTCTTTACTTTTGATTCTTAGGGAATCTCATTCACGTTGTTTATCAGTTAGGTTAGGCTAGGTTATATTGCAGTAATAAACAACTTCTAAAATCCTAGTGACTTTTGCAATATCTAATTATTTCTCACTCATACTACATATCAGCTGTGGTTTTTCTTTCATCTTAATTTAACTCCAGGACTAGGCTCACGAAGCAACCATTAGCTGGAGAAATCTATGGAAGAGGAAAAAAGGCTCTTAGAGCTTTTTAGTGGACTGGCACGTAATATTTCTCTCACTTTTCACTGGTAAGTTACATGGCCAAGCCTGATTACAATGGGGCAAGGAAGAATAATTCTCCTCTAGAGAAGCAAAACAGGTATTAGTCAGCAATAGTATAACATTCTATTGTTAATTTAAATCATGAGATCTACAGATTTGGAGAGAAGAGCTTTATTTCTTATAATGAGTTATAGCCTGCAGGGTGGCCATCCTGACAGTCTGGGAAGCACAGCCTCCAGCAGAGTCTGAGAACAGGTACTTTGAGGGAAGAGAGATAAAACAGGAATTTATGCTGAAACAGTTGGCCAAGTATTCATATTCAAGGGATATAGGAGGAGCTATGAATATTCACAAAGACAGGATGTATGCATGCATAGTAAGGAAACATGCATGTTACATATGACCCATGTTCATTTTGGGGTAGAGACTTTAAGTAAATTACAATTAGGTCCTATGAATCAAAAGCTGAAACAGGGACATGAAGGCACTTACATATGCAGCCTCTGTAAACTGGCCAGAACCAGTCCATG